AGCCCAGAAAGCCAATCGTATCCTGGCCTACATCAAAAGAAGTGTGGCCAGCACATCGAGGGAGGTGATTCTCTGGTGAGACCCCACCTGGAGCACTGCATCCAGCTCTGGCGTCCCCAGCACAAGACAGACGTGGACCTGTTAGAGCAGGTCCAGAGGAGGGCCACAAAACTGGTCAGAGGGCTGGAACACCTCTCCTATGAAGAAAGGCTGAGAGAGTTGGGGTTGTTCAGCCTGGAGAAGAGAAGGCTCCGGGAAGACCTTATTGTGGCCTTTCAATATATAAAGGGGGTTTACAGGAAAGATGGAAACAGACTTTTTTTTACCGGGGCCTGTATTGACAGGACAAGGGGGAATGGTTTTAAACTGAAAGAGGGTAGGTTTAGATTGGACATAAGGAAGAAATCTTTTATGATGAGGGTGATGAGATGCTGGAACAGGTTATCCAGAGAAGTTGTGAATGCCCTATCATTGGAAGTATTCAAGGTCAGGTTGGATGCGGCTTCAAGCAACCTGATCTAGTGCAAGATGTCCCTGCCCACGGCAGGGGCGTTGGACTAGATGATCTTTAAACGTCCTTTCTGACCCAAACCATTCTATGATTCTGTATCCAGAATGTCCTAAGTTGCTAGTCTACGTTGTGAGTGATTGGAACATGAGAGTGGGCAAGCTTAGAGCAATGAGCAGCAGGGAAACACCACTAAGTAACTCCATCCTTTCTTGTCACAGGAGTACCACACTATTACCCTCTTTGCAGTATTCAGAATTCCCATGATTTAACAGTACATTTTCCTCTATCACCTAACAGTTTCCCACATACGGTATCTTCTCAGCTAGGAACAAGATGGATTTCAGAGGGGGATTACAAATGTAAAGCATTACTCTCAGTCTGGGGAAAGAAGATTGCTTAGAATCATGAATTGGTTAAAAACTGAGGGTCCCTAGTCTACAGTTCATATTCTGTCCACTGATTAGACACTGACGTTAAGTGCTTGAGCAAACTTCCCTTTCCATAGTTAGGCCCACCTGGGAGCTGGTCAAATACATGAACTGCCTTTAAAGAACACATGAATTTATCTGATTCTCCACTGGAATTTTTTCCCATTAGCTTTATTCAGCCAGATTAGTTACATTAATACGTTACATAAATAACTCCCTGGAGATCCACCTCTAAGGCCTTTTGTCATGTTACTTACCTGACACGTTCAACGCCTATAAATGACACCAACAGCATGCATCTTTGTTCCAACGCAAATATGTATGTATGTGTGTGCACATGAATGTATGTAATTTGGGTCAAATCTTTATTTGTGGTACGTAGGTATGATAACACAACTTGCAGAAAAGTACAACCTACCAATGAAAACAAGTTTCAGCTCTGCTCGTGGATTTTTTATCCAGATGAATATTGATTGTTCAACGTTACCCAACGGCCAACTTCCTTCTGAATTTACAAAGGTATCTGTACTAGATATGTTTTTTCATAATATGTTTGTATGTTTGTATACTTAATGTATATAAAATCTATAATACATTAATAAAATGCACATTATACAGTAATTTAAGGAACAATTACAATAATTTCAGTGAAGGTATCTAGAATTAAATGAAGGTATAATTTGTATGTTTTTATAACTGCCCTATTTCTAGTTATACTTAATATAGTCAGAAATGTGCAATTACATGCAATTATGTTGTGTGTAAATATAAAGTTGTATATCTTGCTGATAACTGCATTCTGTTATATGGATTTTTCATAAAAATTTATATGGGAAAAATGAAACCAGGCATTGTTTTTTCCGCTTTTTCCCCCCTATTGTTCCCAGTTTGCTTTTTAGAAACTATTTTTGTTTCTGATAATATGTTCTTATTGTTGGTTTGAATTCCCTGTAGATCACTAAAATGAAAAATACATATAGCTTCACTTCAGCAGATTTAATAAAAATGAATGAAAGATGTCAGGAGTCCCTGAGAGAAATATATCACATGACCTACTTGTAAGACCATTTAAAACTTTTTGATATTTGCTAACTACATTTTTTTTTTGTCCAATTAACAGCTCATTACACTATTTCTTAAAGCTATCTTTCTTTTAAGTTATGGCTACTTACAGAAATAATCCAAAGCAACACTGATCAAGTGTACTTCCTGAGACAAAAAACCCCCACAAAGTGTGTATTGTATTAAACGTGATTACAAATATGTAGGTGTTTATTAGTAAGGGTGGCCATCATATTTATTAAATTTTTATGGGTGAATTATCTACACAAAATGACAAAATGAATGCATTAGTTTTGTAATGCAGAATTGTTACTTTTAATCAGTTCCTTGCATTTGCAGTAGAACTGTCTATTTCTGTATTTTGTCCTTGCTGCATGTCATGTTGCTCTGCTGTCTATTTCAGAAGATTTCTATTTCAGTCTATTACTAAGTGTAATGTTGCATGTCAATTTTATGGAAATTCTTTCTAGAAACCATGTGGAGTTTTTATTATCATGAAGGCCTAAGGGAATTAGAGTCGCATTTGATGTGTTAATAAAACATACTTGATTCCATAGCTATATTTTTAGTTCGTTCTCTTTGTGAAGCTTTCTTATGAGCTGTTGGTATTTGAGCTGTGTGTCTTGTGTCTGAGAGCAGAATCTGATCTGAGATGATGGTATAAGATCTTAATTTGCTTAAAAGAAATTTATACATTTGCTTGCATCTGGCAGAGATGGTTGCATTTTATGAGTAACGTCCCATCCTAATGTATTCAGTATGAACATTATTAACTTGCTTTATTTCTGTAAGTTGTATAAAATGACAGTATGTACTGTGCAACAACTAAATCAGGGTCTTATTTCAGAATAGTGTGTAAACTACTGAATGAGATCTATGAACATATTCATTGCCTATACAAGCTGTCTGACATTGTGTCAATGCTGGATATGCTGCTTTCATTTGCCCACGCCTGCACTCTTTCTGATTATGGTAAGTTTCTTTGATTCCATCACAGGCCAGATGAAGACCCCTCTGCTGGAGAATATCCAGGCTGTTTTGTCTGGTTCTCCAATTGCTAAGTCCACGTCCTTTATTTTTCTGGGTCTCAGTAGGCTTTAGGAGAGTGTCTGTGGTCTATCCTTGCCAGTTTTGTGCTGATGTTCTTTCTTTTTCCATTCATTGAAATTACATTTTGCCATTTAGCTGCTGTAAGCCTTCACAGCCAGTCTTTTCAAGATAGACAGTTTAAGCATATTCTATTCAGAAGATGAAGCCTGTGAACGTTCTGAGTTTACACTTCTGTTCTGAAAGGGCACAAGATAATATAAGCAGATCAGCATTAATTATATACCATAAAACAAAATACGTGGCTACCTTTGTTTATCTGCTTCAATTTCTGTAGCACTTCTAGACATTTTTAGAAGTGGAGTCTTCTAGGGAATCCAGGATCACGTGTGTAGCTGCATATTGTTCATCCTGCTTCCCTAGCCCAGTTCTGCAATGTACAAATGAGTACATTGTCTTCAATTAATGCTGACCTGAAATACTTACCTACAGTACAATGCGGTGTAGGTACTAAATCGGGTCTGGAAGCCATCTCAGGAGGTGTATTAGCTCTTCGTTACTGATGCTGCGATGTAATTTCCCGTTCATGAGCAGGGTGAGTTTACTTTGCAGTATGGACTGTGAATCTTCATGTGCTGATGATTCCAGTCATAGCACATGAATTGATACGTAACTGAACAGTAACATCACAACCTTTTCCCGCCAAATGAATCAGAGCACAACTTTTCTTCAGCAGTAATAATAAGACCGAAGCCACTTAACTTCTCTCATAAATCTACACCTGCAGTTTGCACAGCCGGGCATGAATGTGTATCCACAAAAATAAATGGACGGTCACTTGTAGATTTCGGTCCCCTTTGCCACTTGACTCTTTCATCTAAATCATTAAATGACTAAAACCTACACGAGGTAATTAGAGTTCCCCAATGTTTAAACCTGAAAAACTGTTTTGGGACTTCTTTCTTGAAGGCTGCTCCATTTAAACAGACCACCAAATTTAACAACGCTTCTTTGTTAGCCTGAGGTACTGCCATTGAGGTAGACAAAGAACAGGCATACGGAATAGCTTCAGAAAAGAACTGTATTCTGATAGAAATACATACAGATAGTCCCAGTATCAAATGGATCTATGTAGGCATAGTATACACGCAAATAATAAATATGATAGAGTGTAACAAAAATAGAAGGAATGCTACTTCCTTGCTTCCCGTGCTTATATAATAAGGTAGATATGTTGTAGTAACAGTTCATGACCCCTGTACTTTATATGCTCATGGCAGTGTAAAAATAAATTATTAAAAATATATTAGCTATGAAACTGGCCTTCAGGTTTTTTGTTTTAATTACTTTTAAAGTTTTACTCTTTGTATTTTTCTTCATTACTGGAGTCCAACCCTACCTACTACAGAACACAAACACAGAATGTTAATTTAGAAATGAAGTGTTAGTTATGGGATTCTTTTTGTAGTAATAAATCATGAAGACTTGCGTGACAATCAGAATCTATACCTGAAAGTGGCTGGTAATTCTTCCCAAGTGCTGCATGTTAGTCTTGCTCACTACAGGAAAGTAAAAATTGGGGAATCAGGACGACAGAGTTTGACTTCTGCTCTGCAAGAATTACTTTATTTTAAATGCAGTAGTTTAATAACGTAAAGGTTTCCATACTAACTCTGCAATGGTTTATATCCTTTTTCTCATTTAGTTCGTCCAGAATTTACAGATACTTTAGCGATCAAGCAGGGATGGCATCCCATTCTTGAAAAGATAGCGATGGAAAAACCTGTGTCTAACAACACATACCTGACAGAGGGTGACAATTTTGTCATTATTACAGGACCAAATATGAGTGGAAAATCAACATACCTAAAACAGATTGCTCTCTGTCAAATCATGGCACAGATTGGTGAGTAAGAGTGTACACAGTATTAGTAATCTCCTGCACACATTTATTGTTTTCCAGTTAAAAGTATTTATGAAGTTGAATGATTTGAAGTCTAGAAAAAGATTCTATCTAAATAGTAACAGGTAATTTTTAGTCCTTTTGCTCCTACCAGCTCTTGTGTTGCTGACAGAGGCCACTGCAAGGTTTTGGGTCTGTTACTGGAAATTTATGGGGCCCTATCTGTGTATCTGGAAGCCTCCCCAGTCTGTCTTTAGGAGAAGCACAGTTGTATGCTTTAATTCTTTGGAGCACCTTAACCCCATCTAGCACCTTATGCTAGATTGATAGTGAGTGTCCTTGAAGTATGCCCGTCGGGCTATGTATGTGTTGGTCATACAAAAGGAATAGATGAACTTGAGCATACCTCAGTTATGTAGAGGAACATGCTTGCAGACAAGTAGAATTAATAGATAAATAATCAACTACTTAAAATAAAAGTAGTGATAAATACTGCAAGGTTCTATCACTTAAATTATGAAAGTAAAACAAGTATTTGTAAAGTCTAACTGAGACTCATCCCTACACTCAGGAATTCCTCATGATTTTTACCTTAAAGCTAAAGATAAGGCTGGTAGCACAGGAGAAAGACCTTAATAGGCTGACCCTAAGTCTACTAGAATGAAACTACTTGGCAGTGGAGAATAAAATTTGTGCACCATGTGTTTGTGGGTCCAGTCCCCAACAACTGCAAGTTCTTGAGGAATTGCTCTCAAAAACATGAGTTTAATATGGATAAAGGAGACTGTAAAGTCTTTTGGCAGGTTTCATGTTCTTTTCTATTCGATAAAACTAATAAGCCTCTAAGTCTGATAAAGGCAATATAGTCTTGTTTTTGGGAAACTAAGATTCCTTGGGATTAGTAACTCAATGGCTACAGAAATGTAAATTAATCCTAGTGTTTATTCTCACTTTTGCATCCCTTTAGACTGACAAACAGCTTCAGGCATATGATTTCTTAAGGTTTTACTGATAAGCTTCTTTAATTATGTTATCTATATAATAATTTTTCCTTATAAAGTAGTGGTAGAACATAATCTTATGAAACTTTATAGAATAAGATGCATTCTCTACAGTGCATAAAGACCAAGTGTAAAACTGATGGTTTTTTCCCCCACTGACATATTCAAGCAAATTGGCATTTGTCACACACTGATATGAGAAAATTCGTATTTTACTTGTTTTGTAGGTTCTTATGTCCCAGCAGAGTATTGTTCTTTTCGAATCGCAGAGCAAATTTTTACCAGAATAGGTATGGATGATGATATAGAAACAAATGCATCAACATTCATGAAAGAAATGAAAGAGGTATTAAACATAGTTAATCCAGGGTCCAAGGCCCATTTTTACTCTTAAGCTAGTAGAAATTGTACTAGTATATTTCCACT